CTTGAATACTTACCTGAGTACTGATCATTACATGCCTGTGAGGAAACTGCCCAGGACTAGGAAAAGAGCCACTCCAAAGGCTTAAAGGGAACAATTCTCAATTTTATACCTGTTTGGGAATAGTCCATATTCTTATTAGCCAGGCTTGAAGACCTAGTAATTCACGGGTTATCAGAGTGCTCAGAAGGGTTTTTCCTCATTAATGGGGTACCATTAACCTTAAACTAAACACTACTCTTGTCCCACCCTATAAAGGTTAAAATCAAGAACCTAAAAGATCAAACTGTTTACAAGTAACTAAATTGTGTCTCTTAGAGTAAAACCTAATATATATATAGGAATGCAAAAATATCTAGAACTCCATAGGTAAAACTCATAAAATCTGGCATCCAATCAACAAACACCAGGCCTGCAAAGAAGCAGGAAAATCTAACTATCATGAGAAGAAAAATCTATCAATTAAAACTGACCAAGAAATGGCAAGGATGGTAGAATTAAACAAGGACATTAAAACAGATATCATCCTTCATTTCATAAGTTCAAAAAGTTGGAAGAAAGGCTGAACATGTTTAGTAGAGACATGGAACATAAAAAATAAAAAAGACCCAAATGGAATATCTAGAGATTAAAAACTATAATATCTAAAAATGAAAAATATGTTAGACAGGATTAATAGCAGATTAGACATTGCAGAAGAAAAGATTAGTGAACCTGAATACATAGCAATAGGCACAATTCAAAATGAAATACACAAGAAAAAGACTGAAAATAAGAGCAAAGCATTACCAAGTTGTAGGGGAACCACACTGATAATCACTTGAAATGGAAATGGCTTAAGCCCTCTAAATACATGACAGAGATTGTCAGAGTAGATAAAGAGCTAGACTCAGCTCCTAATATCTGAATATAGTGGAGCAGAAAGGGCTGGTTGTACACATACAAAACTACAAACAAGCTGAGAAAAAGGCCTTTTTGCTAAAAATATATAACATATCATGGTCCAAGTATTACTAAAATAGTACCCACCTAAGCTAATTCAACTCTAAGTCAGGAAGAAAGTCTTTGTGCACACCTTTGTAGGAGACAAACTGGGGCATTGGCACACAGAGGTGTCCAGAGAAATCTGTAGAGATGGGGTATGGGGATGTGGCTCACCACAGCAGAGAAATGGAATTTGCCTGTGACATATGGTTTGGATGCTACTCTTAATAGCTGAGGGGAATCTGAAGGACTTCGGTGTCCTGCATGTGCAGATGAACAAAAGAAGCAGTTACACAGCTCTCTTTACCTCTTTTGCTTCTTATAGCACCCCTACAAATTATCTCCATTTTCTCAGTGCACAGAGTAAAATGAACTGAGGCATTGTCCTGTAAATAACTACTAAATTCATATTAGTAGCTGAAGTATTCAGAAGTAATTTGAAATTCATTATTCTTGTTTGTTGCTTTTTCAACAAGTTTTCATCAAATTCTCACTGTCTTTAAGTTAATTAACAGTTAACTTGCTTCCTCTTTAAAAAGTCAATCTTTAGAGATTAAGTAATACTGATTAAATTATGGAGTAGATTTAATTTAAAATTAATTTATACTCGTGATCTCAGTAAAGGAAGCAGGGTGTTGAAAATAAGATTTAAAATTTTTCTTCTTAATACATTTTCTCTTCTGCTCCAAAACACCACCAAAATCACTTTACTAAGTGAATACTATACTCTCAGTCTTACATTAATGTGTTTAATGAAGCTTTTTTTTTTTTACCTTTCTTTTTCCTTTGGTCTTCTTTTCTCATTTTCAAAACAATTCCATGACTATTAAATGAACCTTCTTAAGTGCAGTTTCTCAGAAGATACTGAAACATCCTTTTCAGAGCAATGCTATTTTACTGAGTTAAAGATATTGTCATTAGGATCTGCTTCTATTGAACAGTTGAGCATTTCATAGTGATAGTTGGACCAAGTGAATGAAAGCCATAATAAATAGAGGGTTTCTTCAAAAACAAAAACCCAATAAAAACCACTTTAGAATGCATATTTTACAGTCAGAAACACAATGGGAATATGATTATTTTTTAATTGGCATACATCTGAAGATTTTACTCATGAAATTCATCAAGGTGATTTTTACTTAACAGAAATCTTTTCCATCAGCTACAAGGGAAAGAGTAAATTTTTAAATAGGCTAATTGAAATTTTAAAACAATGTTAGCAAAACTAAAAATACAAATAAAAATTCAGATTTTTAAATTAATAGAGATGTCTTATTTATTTGGTTGTGTATATCACTTAGAAAGCGTTGACTGGTTTTACTTGACAGAGCAACTATATTATGTGCTATCTGCTTGAAAATTTAACAATAGCATCATTCTAAGAAAATCAGCATGTTTATTACATGATATATATGATTTCAGGAAAGGAAACAGAGAGTAGACATGGGCTTTTGTCCATTTCTTTCATGTAAGCCAGTCCTTTCCTACCTATGGGACAACTTTTAAGTTTCATAAATACAGTTCTCTCCTGTTTTATTAGATAAACGTGTTCACTTAATTTGCCCAAATTTGCCAACTGAATAGGTCTGCTAAAATGTGATGACTGTCATTTTCATCATTTTGAAAAACAGGAACTCACTGAAAGTTGGTCATATGTGATCCAGTTAGCTTTGATGAGTGGCAAGGAGAGATAAAAAAGTAAAAAAACAGAACAGGCTAAACCTGTCTCCTTGGCAGGGGCTTTGGAAGAGGCAGTATTCCTCCTAAGAGGCTCTGCGCCTGGCTTTATCATGACTAAATAGAGGATGACGGCAAAAAATTTTATAAGTATTTTCCTTTGATGATTGGATTATGGTTTTGTTTATGTTCTTCCTTACATTTTCTGCATAATTCCAATACATATAATGACCTTGCATTACATAATTATAAGTATTACATTTTAAAATGTTTCCCATAGAAACTTGGAGAACATGACATATAAACCATCCATAAAGACCCAAGTGTTAATTGCTATCATATATTATTTTAGATAAATTACAACTGTGAAAAACTAAGATTAATAATTAAATTAATAAAAGAATAACTAAATGTTATATTATTAAATATCTACTATATCAGGCATTGTGCTAGAAACTGAGCTCCAGGATAATTAAGACAAAATCTCTCTTGTAAAAGGGCACAGGCTTGCACAGAAGTGATAAAACCTAATTTATTTAAGAAGTTTATAATTGTTATAAATGTGTTATTAATAGATTCATCCCAACACATTAATTTACTAGGATATCTGAAAGATAAAAACAGCACTAGTTTAAATACATTGGTTATTTAATGCAACGCAATTTTAGAAAAATTATATGATGGAAAGGTGTGGTCATTGTGGAATCAATTAATGCCCTCTATACTTGTATGGGTGAAAATTCCCTTTAGTCCTTCCTAAGTACCTGATGGGGCCAGGGTCCTGTTAAATCTGGGGAGCTGCATAGGGGGCAACCAAAAACAGTTCCACAGCTCATCTATTCCATTCAGCAGTCCTGTAAAGCAAGCATTATTGCCCATTTCACAGAAGTGAAGACTAACTCTTTAAAGGAATGTATAATAAGGTAATTTAGATCACAATGTTTGTAAAATAGTGTAATCACTGTCAGTGTTTCTCTTTGCTTTATGTTGTCAAAACTTAGATGCCTCAGAATCACCTGAGGAACTGTCAGAACAGTAGTTCCTGATCAGGTGATTCAAGGAGTGACAACATGGGTGGGGAGTGGAAGGGCACCCAAGCTTTAGCATTTTTAACATTTTCCCTAGGTGATTATGATTCAAGTAAGGGTTCTGTGTTTTTGAAAACAAGTGCACATCTAAGATTTTAAAAAAAAGAGTAGATTTTGGGTTAGAGACTTTTCTTGCTCTGTTCCTTTGGAAATTTACACTTTCCTTACCAATTTTACCTCAAGTAAAAAAAGTAATACTTCCCAGGTAAATAGTTACTTGCCTTAGACCCCTTAATTAGGATAGTCAGTTAAGGCAAGTAAGTGTTAAGCTGGGTTCTGAACTCCACTATAGTTAATCAATCAATCAAAATAATTACTGTATCAGACACAACACTAGAACAGAGCTCCAGAGTAAGACAAAATTGTTTTGAGAAGCGCATGCACTCACATAAAAATAATGCTAAATATTTAAAAGTTTTTAAGAACTTACAAACCAGCTTCATGTTTCAGGTGTAGGAGAGAGAAATGGGAAAGGAGTGTTTCAGCTTTAAAATGTGTTTCCCTAATGTAATTTACATGTCTTCAGGGTAAGTCTGTTAAACTGGTTGGGCAGGCCTGCCAGACTCTGAGAAAAGCCCTGCAAAGGGAGGAACACAGGCAAAACAAAGAATTCAGCCTGTTTGTGCTCTGGAGGTTTGAAGCAGTGTAATTCTGGGCACACATCAGTGTGACATCTGCACTAGCTCCATCTCCTGAGCTAAGCCTCAGTGCATTCAAGTGAGTTCTTTTAAAAGGAGCATAAAGATAAAACCCAAAAGGGCTTTTTTGTTAAGAACCAATATGAGAATGGTACTCACTTGAGTAAATCTAACTCTAAAGTGGGGATAAAGGCATTCCCTACACTTCTATAGAGAGAAAAGGGGAGATGTAGCTCACAAGACTCCAGAGAAGTCAGTGGGGTTTTGTTACCTTGAGAACTTGCCCATCACCAAAAAGAAGAGAAACAGGATTCAGAAGAGAAAGTATGCCCAACTGACATGGCAGTAATCAGGGGAGGAGGAGTATTGCCAAGTATCAGAGGAATGACAAGGTGGAAGGCACCTAGTTTTGCCCTCTGGATTTATGACCATGGGTGAAATGGACCTTTAGCCCTTCTGAAATACTAAATGGGGCAAGGGTCCTGTTAAACGCTGGGGAGTTACATAGGAAGCAACACAAAACAGTTCCACTGTTCATCTATTTCATTCAGCAGCCCTACAAGGCAAGCATTATTGCCCATTTTACAGAAGAGAACACTGACTCTTTAAAGCGATGTTATCTGTAATGGAGTGTTTATTCTAGTGAAGAAGGAAAGATACTTAAAATCTTCAAGTTTGTTAAACCAGTAATTATTATATACCTGTACTACATTCACAAACTCATTGAAAAATTGTTTCCATTGCTTCTAAAGTCCAGATAAAAGGGGAAAAAATCACATAGCATCCAACCATAGAAATTTGACCCAATTAACATTGTGGGGTATTTGAGTTCAGATTTTTTGGGGGGGTTCATATTATGTGTTTTCTAGTGAAACAATAAAAGGTATAGATTGACTTTTAATTGCTTTATTAACTTTACATTTTTCCATGCAGATGGAAAAAATTCTACTGTTGACAGAAACTTAAGACTGGGTACCAAGACAATCTCCAAAGAGAAGCTGGTTACACAGAACCCACCCGACACATGGAAATTACATAGGGTTCACAGCAAACAGATTAGTAAAGGCATATCAGGAAAATGCCAAGGAAAAAGAAAACAGTGGGAATCACAGTATTAATCTCATGAAAAATGGCAGGAGTCAAGGCATAAGGCAAAATTCATCATGATGGTCATGGTGATTAGACAGCTCTCCCATAAGGATACGTAGACAATTCCTCAGCTGCAGCTCCCTAAGTTTTCTCCTGATTTCTCTCATCTCCTCCATGAACATTTCCATATCATCTCCATCTCCACCCAACCCATCATTGACCTGCCTATTGGGTATGGCCCATCGGAAATTAGGGGCAAGTCGGCGAGCCTGTCCCCGTCTATTATTTCCTGCTGGCTGGTGGCCTTCGCCCCCTCCCAAAGGGCGGCCTTCCTCTCCATTCTGCATGGGCTGCTCCATTTCTTCGTTTTCTTGGTGGATATTTGCCATGATGAAAATTTTTTCCTGATTGTTTTTCTTTGAACACAAGTGAGACAAAGGCAAGGAGAAACACTGAATGTCTGGTGCACTGGCAAACAGGATTCAGAGCCCTGATAGCAAAGGTTTTTTACATTTCATTTTTTCCCCACCTTAGCAGCTTTGTGCGCCCTCTAGGGGGCTCCCAATTCGAGCCCCTCCCTCCAATTCCTTTACCCTACCCTCCCCCAAAGCCCACCATTTTTCCTTTCCCAGGATTCTTTCCCAGGCCTCTGCATGCACCAAAATGGAGGACCAGGGACGGGGAACAAGGGATGGCGGACTGGGGAGCTGCGAGGGGGTCTCAGACTGGGCACTACACCCGGCCCCCGCCACTGTCCCCCGCACCGACCTAGTCTGATTCTTGCTGTCTCTTCCTCCTCCAATTCTCGCCGCGAGTGCGCCGCTGTGAGTCTTGACACAAATCCGCAGACCTGCAGAGGGCCCGAGTTGGGGCAGCGGGGGCCGCTGCAGCCAAGCGCTCGGCGCCGCCCCGCCGCTTCTCCGCCCCTTCCCGGACTTAGGCCCCCCAGGCCGCCCCGCCCCGCTCGCCGTCTCCCGACCTTCCTCAGCCGCCCCTCCGCCCCGGGGGCTTAGCATCTTCCTGCAGGAACTCGCGGGTGATTTCCTATCGCTCATAGCCGCTTTGCTGCCCTCCCTGCCACCCCTGCACCCCACTCCGGCGGGGGGAGGGCACTATTTATGTTCCCAGGAATGCCGCGGGGCGGGGAAAGTTGGCCAGGACTCGCCGCGCTGATCCTCTGCGCCGGCCTCCAGAGTTGACGCACCACTGCCTCCCTCGCCTGGGCACGGGCCCCGGGGCCCTTACCTGCTCTGCTTTCCCCGGGCCCAATGCCAGCCCGCCGTGCACGATGCGGCAGGGAGCTGGTACCCAGACGGGAGTGGCGACTGTAACGAAGGCTGCGTCTCTCTGCAGCTCCGGGTCACGTGGGGGCCTCGCGTCATCGCCCCCCCTCCCGACCTCCCGCCCCGTGCCAGGGCCAGTGCAGCAGGAACGCCCCCCGCCTCATACACATGCACAGACAACCCCCTTAGCCTATTTGTGCACTTGGCCCCAGCTTCCGCAGCTCCGTTGTTCAGCTTGAGGGCCCACAAGTGGCATCACCTCCCACCAGCTGGAGTTTACCCTTCTCTGGTTACCAGGGAGGTTCTGCAATACCCTCCACCCTTCCCACTCCCGCCTCTGGCCTTGGGTTGGGCCTTTCCTGTTTTGTGTCCTTTTTCTTTTGGCCGTGTGATTGCCGTCACCGCCCCCTCCCCCAGCCAATCTCCCACCACACACACAGCCACCATTGCCCACCATGTTCCCTGAGTTCATATACTCTTCTTGGAAATCTAAAATGAAGGCTGGGGTTGGGTGGGAGCAGAGGACCTGTCAGAAAGAGAGGCAAGGAGATAAAGTGGGCTGTATATATACTTCCTAATAAATTCTCTTTTATTTCCTTTTTTAAAAAAATCATCATGATTCAAAAAATTAAACATTACAAGGTTTCATTTTTGAAAGAAAGGCTTCATCCTGCAGAATGAAAAAGCCCCATTGATTATGTTCACCTGTGCCACACAAAATATTTTCTCTGGGCTCTACACAACATCAACATCACTTTAGAAATGTGCTAGCTTATTTCACTATTTTATTTTGAGTAAAAGGAGGCATCTTCCTGAACACAGTTGGTGTTTTCTAAATGATGTGTAAAGTAAATCTTCAGGGAGCTGTCGAGTTGTCAGATCTTGGCCATTTTATGTAAATTTATGTGATATTTTTTTATATCACAGTCTTTGGAAAAAAGGAGTCTTTTTATTCCCTGCTTTCCTTCCCAAACCTTCCAAACCACCCCTACAAATATCTCCTTAGGATGATCTCAGAGGTGAAGTACATAATATGCGGAAGTCAGTTCCAAAGTCATCTGCCTTTTGATGGGAATGTTTAAAATAAAAAGATTAGAAATAAGCAGGGGGTATGTGAAGCAACTAAACTTGAGACTGAAACTCATCTTGAGTGTTCCTTTCTCCAACTTGAAATAACTAAAAAAAAAAAGATCAAAGCTAGAAAATAAAGATGTCTTTGGGAAAGTGGCACTGTTATAAAAAAATATAGGTATTGGTAGTGATAAAGGAATCAAAAGAGTTATATGCACTGAGGCACGACAAGCCAGACAAATGCTTATGCCTCTAGTTTTGTTCCAAAATCCTATGTAATCTCCTATTTTGCTAAACTGGCTTGGACATTGAATAAAGGAAAAGTATATGCCTTGTACAAATATAGTTTGACATTTGGAGATATATAAAATTAGTTCTTGGATGAAAATGTACATATATGTATGTGTATATATATGTTTTTAGAGATATATAGATACATTGATAAATAGCTCCAAAAATTCAAATTTAAGGGAATGCTAGTGATTCTTGAGTTCTGTTTCACAGTTAACAGCTCTTCATACAGCTAGCTCTATTAATGATATTGGCTGAAAGGATGCTGATTAGAACTTTGACCTATAGTATCAGACTTGTGGATTTAAATCCAATCTCTGCTACTTGCTTGATATGTGACTTTGGGTCAATTATTTATTAAGGTCTCTGTGCTTCCCCTGTGAAACAGGGATTCTTAGAAGTAAATCACATATATCAAGGTCCACAGAGCCTAATAAATCATCAATAAGGGTAGATTCATTTTTTTAAATCATTACTTGGTAGTTTCTAAAAAGATTTGAAGAGTAGGCAGACCATAATTCTTTCCTTAGCTACATCCACTTGTCTTTAAAATCCATGAGGGCCCAAAATACATCTGTTTTGTTCTACTTTGCATACCCAGTGACTTACACAGTTCCTTGTACCAAGTAGGTTATTAGTGAGTATCTGTTGACTGAATGCATCCACTACTGAGATTAAGTGGTTGCTTTTCATTCAGGTGATTGTATTTAGAGCAGTACAGAAAAGCTTTTATGAAAATTAAGAATTACCTAGAAAGAAGCCCCTGAAATTAGAGAAACTGCTGACATAATTATTGAACATGAAGTTTAGCAAGCAGATTTTTATTTTTCTCAGTAGCTAAATGCTTTGCTCTTGTCTTTTTGACCCATCTTGGATAAGTCTCTTATTTGAAACCACCAAATGTTCTTGGATGAAAATGTACATTTGTATATTTTTCTAAATCAGATGTTATGCTATATAGGAGGCTGGTTGTAATGAAGTGATGTTTTAAAGATAGACGAAAATTGTCTTGGAAATTATGTTATCTTCACTAAAATGTTGTGAAGTGTTGATCTCAATCTTTTCTTGTCCTTGGAGTTTTATGAGGAGTTGGTGATAGATAACAGCCTGTTGACAAAATTTAAATTTTTTCCAAGGCTGAATTAGAAGGACACAAGAGTCTTATTTTGGGACTCATGTGCCCCAAATGACAGAGAGAGGGTGAACTGGTTTGATGGCTCTTACCCAGAAATAATGGAAGGGTAATGTAGTGCTGGGAAGGAAGAGACTGGATTCACATTTGGGCAAGTACAATGTTTGTGAAAAGAACCTGTCCCCTCTCCTTAACTCCTGTAATCATTATAGATGGTGGCACTTGATTGGTTCCCTTCCCCAAAGCCAAGGGAGTGGGCTCCCAATAGAACTGTGCATGAAGTTTAAGGATATCTACAAGATGGTAAGGTTTACTTTTCATTGCTCTGCTGGATATCTACTTTACCACTGGGATTTCTGAGCTACCTCGAATCTATAGGAGCCTGGAAAGAACAGTTTAGAGAGACGATGTGGTGGTGTGGCCAGGTGGAAAAGGGGATAGGATTAACCCTTTACCTAAATTTTCAGTTCTGGAGAGGCATGAAAAATAAATCTACAAGCTGTGGAGTTGGAGCTGGGGATAGGGAGTTATTGAAATACAGCCTTACCAGAACCGTTATGGAGTAAGGCAAAGAAACCTATGAACCATAGGAATGCTGTGTGCCGGTCATCAGCTAGGAGTCACATGCAAGATAGGGCCCAATCATCCAAGTTGCCACCAAAACCTAAGGGTGCTTGGGTGTGAGTCCTTATCAGCAGGCTCAAGAAAATCAAACTTGAGACTTAGTGATGATTACTTACACAGAGATAGCAATCTCACCCTAGGTAGTCAGGTAGAGAGTTGTGTTTTTATTCTCCCCTCCAAACTCTCAAACCACTTGTGTAAACACAGGGAAGGAGATTGTGATGGTTAATTTAAGTGTTGACTAGGTCATGGGACGCCCAGATATCTTGTTAAACATTATTTCTGGGTGTATCTATGAGGGTGTTTTTGGAAGAAATCAGCATTAAATTGGTGAACTGATTAAAGCAGATGACTCTACCCAGAGTCGGGCATCATCCAATGATGATAGAGGGCCTAGTAGAACAGAAAGGCAGAGGAAAATTGAATTCACTCTGCCTGACTATATGAGCTGGGACATTGGTCTTCTGCCCTTGGCATTCTTGGGTCTCAGGACTTCTAATTCAGACAGGCATATACACATCATTTCTCCAGCTTTCAAACCTTTGAACTAAATCACTGACTTTCTTGGCTGTCTAGTTTGCAGACAGGACACTGTGGGACTTTCCAGATTCCATTATCACTTGAGCCAAGACCTTATAATCAGTCAGTCTGTCTATCTACCTATCTATCTATCTATCTACTATCTATCTATCTATCTATCTATCTATCTATCTATCTATCTATCTATCATCTATCTACCTACCTATCTATCGAATATAGATTCATGATAGCTAGGTCTATATAGATAAATATAAAATATAGATACTTGATAGATGATAGGTAGATAGATAGATAGATAGAAGATAGAGATGGATCTAGAAGGATGAAGACTGAATAAAAAGTGAGATGGGGATTGAGGTAGGTGGATGGGGAGGGTGAGGGGGATAAAGGTTCACAAAAATTCTCAATCATAATGCAGGTTGGTCACAGGGATAGTAGTACAGCATGGAGAATATAGCAAATGATTCTGTAACATCTTTTTATGTTGACAGGTAGTAGTTGTATTAGTGGGGGTGAGGATTTAATAATATGGGTAACTGTTGAACCACTGTGTTGTATACCTAAAACTAAAATGAAACTGTATATCAATTTTTAAAAGTGAGATTGACATTTTAATGATAATTTACCTTCTTTAAATTAACAATGGCAATTTAATCATCTTCCAATATTCCCTCCCAAGAAGGGGAGGGACTATAAATGCCAACTCTTGATGGGAGGAGTGCCAAATAATTTGCAACCATATTTTAAAACCATCACATACCTTACTGGTATGTGCTCCTTTGTGCCTCTTATAATCCCTTTCTTACCCTCCAGCTAGACAAGGCAGTCAATATTCTAGTGACACTTGTTTGATTGTAATTAAATACAAAATAATTTTTCAAGAGGACCAAAAATAGAATTGCCACAGCTTTGTTCCACCCATATTTTTCCTACTTTAAGGATTTCCAAAGAATTAATTTTTACTAGAAAAAGTTTAGCATATTTGTCCACAATTATCCACCTGTGTACTGATGCGGTACTGATGTGCAAAATCATCAGAAAGGATTGGAAATAGGGGAACAAAATAAACTGTGAGGCCAATAGAATGGATCAGCAAACTTACGGAACATCGGATTTTATACTTATGTTCCATGTGCCTTTGCTTAATTTTGGATTTATAGGGTAGACTTTATGATCTTACTAACAGTCCTACACTTTCACAGATCAATC